TGTCAGTCGTAATTCACAAGGTGTTGCCCCCCTCGCCCTTCCCTCCCTACCCCCCCACCCCACTCGAGGACCGCTCCCCCGGCGTGTCATTAAAGCGACGTTGCTCCTGTAGAGGAATAGTCCGTGCCCTCTCCCCCCACACCGGCACTCCCCCCTCCCCCCTTCTTTGTGTTCCTCGTCTGTGTGTTCGGCGAAGTGTTGTAGTGTTTGGTGCGGTCAGCTGTTTCCTTATTGCTGTTCGGTGTGAGTGAGTGAGTGAGTGAGTGAGTGAGTGAATGAGTGAGTGAGTGACTAACTGTAAGTGTGTGAGATACAGTGCGTGGCCTCGGTGGGTTGTTTGGTTGAGGTTCTTGTCTTATCTTTTTGTTCTTAGTTTTGTTGATGTTTGTTATTATTGTCGTTATTATTATTATCATTATCGTTGTTGCTGTAGTTGTTATTTGTTGTTATTCTTGCTGTTGTTTTTATATCCGTTATTACAGAAATAAAACGGCTTTTACAAAGAAAAGTTTCAGAAATCAGTTTCGCGGCGTTTGGTTTCTTCGTATTGAGTCGCCATCGGCTGACAGAAGCAAATCATGAACGTGATGTATGGTCTACCCCCCCCCCCTCTCTCTCTCTCTCTCTCTCTCTCTCCTCTCTCTCTCTCTCTCTCTCTCTCTGTCTCTCTCTCTCTCTCTCTCCCTCCCCTCCCTCCCCTCCCTCCCTCTCTCCCTCCCTCCCTCCTTCCCTCCCTCCCCTTCCTCTCCCTTCCCCTCCCCTTCCCCTTCCCTTCCCCTTCCCTTCCCTTCCCTTCCCTTCCCTTCCCTTCCCTTCCCTCCCTTCCCCTCCTTCCTCTTCCCTCTCCTCCTAACCCCCTCACCCTTTCACCCCCCCCCCCCTCCAACCACCTATTCTGACAGTCGGGTCTTTCATTATTTTCAATCCGTGTTATTGACCTGTCTGCTGTGGGCCAAAACCCTCCCCGGGCGGTATTCTCGTGTTGTGCTAAATCACCTTTTTTGTTTTTGATTATTATTTGTATTATTTATTTATTTATTTATTGTTTCTTTTTTATATCTCGTCTTCTTTTTCCTTATCTTGTTTTCTAGGTCTTTTCCTTCTCTTGTTCGTTTTTTTTTTTTCTTCTTTTTTATCTTCTTATCCTAGTTCAGGGATTCTTTACCTGGGTATCAGATAAAAATAAACATTTGTATTAGTGTGTTCAAGGTTACTCTTCAAAAATTGCTTTGCGCATCTCGTATATGTATGAGACTATCAAATCCACTGTAATATTGTGTGAAATGTCTGCGCATAGATGGCTTTGTAGGTGCATAGCCACAAAGGAATTAATTGTTAGACTTTGTGACTTCACCTGATTTCGCCTTCCCCTGAGTTTGTGCGGGAAAAACTTTTTTTTCTTTTTAACTTATGCATCGATATTTAACCTGTTATATTTATTGTAGACTTTATAAGTATTATAGTGTTATTGACGTTACTAACAGCAGTATTAGATACCAGAAAATATTTTCAAAACTCAAGGAAAAGGTTAAACAAGTGAGAGAGGTAGTACTTGCAATTGGGTCATTGGTGACTTCGTATTTGTGGAGCCATCTGTGGGGAAAAGCAATGAATAAATTCAACTCACAGTAGGCATGGCATGTACGTCCATGCCACCCCCGGCGGCTTCTGATGAAATCTATGGACCTCCTCCTCCAGAAATATTCACAGAAACATAACTTTGCATGTAATGTGATTATGTACTAAATTTATTGATATTTGATTTTCATGCATCTACGAGAGACAAAAGATTGTTGAACGTTAAAATACCCCTGCCCTGGGTATTCTTATTGTGCTTCCTTCTCAGTTCGTTTTCATTTTGCTTTTTTTATTTTTTCATTTATTCTCAGTTTCGCCTTTACTTCTTATAATTTTATAAGATTTATAAGTTCGTTGTCTTGCCAGACCGCTTTGGTTGTACATGAACAGGCGCTCAGTTCGACCCAAATGATTTTCGATTGATTTTGATCCGACACCCGGCGCTGGCGATTGTAAGTGAAATGTGGCTGCAATAGGCCGTAGAGTTATGTCGACGGGTGGATTTTCCTGTAATCACTTAATTATTTATTTGTTTACAAATTTATTTGTCATGTATCTTCCTTTTTTGAATTCCATCTTTATTTGTATTTATTTATTTTATTTTTTTCTCTTTTATGTGATTTCTCCTTTATTATTCCCTTTTACTCTGAACTATGTTGCTTGTAAATAGGACACTAAAATTTCAGTAGGCGTTCGTCGCCCCGTCATCGCAAACCGCCCAGGACGTGAGACATGGCTGGCGGGGGGCGGGGGAACGGACGAAGGAACAAAGGAATGTTTCGGCGTGCTTTAAGGGAGAGGGAAGGCGGGGGGGTGAGGGGAGAGGGGGGGTATTTGATAGGGTGCGGCTCTGACTAAGGCGCTCGGCACGGAAACCCTCTGTGGATACGTGGCCCGCATGCGGTATTGACGGGTGTGCGGCGCTCTCGTGGCCCTCGCGTGGTGGCGGGCGCCTCGTCAATTATTCAGCCGATCGCCGAGCTCAGCGGGGTACGCGCGCCCGCTGCCGCCCGTATATATATATATATATACATATATATATATATATATATATATATATATATAATTTATTTATTTATATATATATATATATATATATATATATATATAATTTATTTATTTATATATATATATATATATATATCATTTATTTATATATATATATTTATATTATATATATATTTATATATATATATATATAATTATTTATTTATATATATATTTATATTATATATATATTTATATATATATATAATTATTTATTTATATATATATATATTATATTATATATATTTATATATATATATATATATATATATATATATATATATATATATATATATATTTATATTTATATAAAATGTATATATGTATATGTGTGTGTGTGTGGTGTGTGTGTGTGTGTGTGTGTGTGTGTGTGTGTGTGTGTGTGTGTGTGTGTGTGTGTGTGTGTGTGTGTGTGCGAGCGCGTATAATATATACATACATATATGTGTGTGTGTGTGTGTGTGTGTGTGTGTGTGTGTGTGTGTGTGTGTGTGTGTGTGTGTGTGTGTGTGTGTGTGTGTGTGTGTGTGTGTATATACATACATACATGAATGGTAAAACACTTCCGTGTTGATGCTGTGGTAGAAAAAATAATGCAAACTAAATTTATTGAAAATGAGACTACTGTTTCGAAATATATTATATATATATAATATATTATATTATATACATTATATATATTATATATTATATATTAGATATTAGATATTAGATATTAGATATATATATCATACATAAATGTATATATATGTATATATCTTATATACATATATGTATATATAATGATATATATATGTGTGTATATATATGACACACACACACACGCACGCACACACGCGCACACACACATACACACACATACACACACATACACACACATACACACATGTACACACATGCAACACACATGCACACACATGCACACACATGCACACACATGCACACACATGCACACACATGCACACACATGCACACATATGCACACATACACACACATACACACACATACACACACATACACACACATACACACACATACACACACAAACACACACAAACACACACACACACACACACACACACACACACACACACACACACACACACACACACACACACACACACACACACACACACACACACACACATATACATATGTGTGTGTGTGTGTGTGTGTGTGTGTGTGTGTGTTTATGATATATATATGATATATATATGATATATATATGATATATATATAATATATATAATATATATATATATATATATATATATATATATATATATATATATTTATATATATATATGTATGTATATATGTATATATGTATATATAAATAATATACAATATATACAAATATATTATGTATATATGTATATATACAGTATATTCAGTATATATATCTATATCTATATCTATTTATCTATCTATCTATAGTGGACTATTAAGAATTTTTAGAAATTCAGAAACTCAATAACATCTGACAAAACATGACAAGTGTATTTAGTGTCTTATGTATACTGCAACACCTCAGGCGCCGCGACATGAATCACAGGTACTCGTCACCGCCTCCCTCGTGGATAAGCTTAGCTGACCTGACCAGGAGTTGCGTCACACTTGGGGAAGGAATGTTGGTCGGGAAGGGAAAAGGGAAGGGGGAGAGGTAATGGGGGCAGAGGAAAAAGAGGGAGAGAGAGAAGAGAGCATAGGTAAGAGAAGGGGAGAGAGAGAGAGAAGAGAGAAGAGAAGGGGAGAGAGAGAGAGAAGAGAGAAGAGAAGGGGAGAGAGAGAGAGAAGAGAGAAGAGAAGGGGAGAGAGAGAGAGAAGAGAGAAGAGAAGGGGAGAGAGAGAGGGAAGAGAGAAGAGAAGGGGAGAGAGAGAGAGAAGAGAGAAGAGAAGGGGAGAGAGAGAGAGAAGAGAGAAGAGAAGGGGAGAGAGAGAGAGAAGAGAGAAGAGAAGGGGAGAGAGAGAGAGAAGAGAGAAGAGAAGGGGAGAGAGAGAGAGAAGAGAGAAGAGAAGGGGAGAGAGAGAGGGAAGAGAGAAGAGAAGGGGAGAGAGAGAGTGAAGAGATAAGAGAAGGGGAGAGAGAGAGAGAAGAGAGAAGAGAAGGGGAGAGAGAGAGAAGAGAGAAGAGAAGGGGAGAGAGAGAGAGAGAAGAGAGAAGAGAAGGGGAGAGAGAGAGGGAAGAGAGAAGAGAAGGGGAGAGAGAGAGAGAAGAGAGAAGAGAAGGGGGAGAGAGAGAGAGAAGAGAGAAGAGAAGGGGAGAGAGAGAGAGAAGAGGGAAGAGAAGGGGAGAGAGAGATAGAAGAGGAAAGAGAAGTAGAGAGAGAGAAGAGAAGTAGAGAGAGAGAAGAGAAGTAGAGAGAGAGAAGAGAAGTAGAGAGAGAGAAGAGAAGTAGAGAGAGAGAAGAGAAGTAGAGAGATGAGAGAGAGAGAGAGAGAGAGAGAGAGAGAGAGAGAGAGAGAGAGAGAGACGAGAGAGAGAGAGAGAGAGAGGGGGGGGGAGAGAGAGAGAGGGAGAGAGAGAGGGGGGGAGAGAGAGAGAGGGGGGGGGATAGAATTAAGACAGCCGAGACGATGAGATAGCAGGTAAAAAGTGCCGACAGGAACGAGAGGGAGTCGGAGTCGGGTCGCCGCCGTTTCCTCTCTCGCCACGTGTCTGCCGCGAGTCATTCCGCGGAGCCTGAGTGGCAGGGAAGCGTCCCCGGGTGCGGGGCGTCGCGGCGGAAGCTTTAAGCTCGGGCGCCACAGGTGTCTTGATCCGCGCTGCACACGGACGCGGTGGTCTCCAAAAGGGGTTGGGGTGTCCGTCCGCGATTTACTGTGCGGGAAGGGCGCTATCGCGGGTCTGGGGGGTCCGTGGGAAGGGGAGAGGGGGGGAGAGGTCGTCGTGTCTCTTGCGTTGGCTGTCCGAGGCGCGGGTGAAGTTTCCGCGAGGGTCGAGGCGAAGTAGGTTTGTGCCGCCGCGACCTCCTGGCTTTCTCGTCCACCCACTTCACCTACTCCACCTCCTCTTCCACATGCTCCTCCGAATTGTCTACTCCTTTACCGACTCCTCCGCCCACCCCTCCACCCACCCCCACCCACCCCTCCACCCACTCCTGTTTGCCCGCCGCCTCTCGCGCCCCCGGAGCCCTGCCTTCGGTAAAAGGTTGTGATGATACTGATCAGGATAAAAGGACATGATGGGAACGATAAAGATGGTTAAGGACGGACAAAGTGACAGTTACGAGTGCCATTCGCTGTAGCACGGAATTCAGGGTAATGCCAATTGCTTCATCGGTTGTCGATCAATACCCATCGGGAGCTTTATTGTTGCTGAACCTAAGCTTTCTGCTTTGTCTGTCAGTCTGAGAGAGAGAGAGAGAGAGAGAGAGAGAGAGAGAGAGAGAGAGAGAGAGAGAGAGGGAGGGAGGGAGGGAGACAGACAGACAGACAGACAGACAGACAGACAGACAGACAGACAGAGACATAGACATAGACATAGACATAGACATAGACATAGACATAGACATAGACATAGACATAGACATAGACATAGACATAGACATAGACATAGACATAGACATAGACATAGACATAGACATAGACACAGACGCAGACGCAGACACAGACGGAGCCAGACAGAGAAAGTTGAAGAGTGTAAAGTGTGTCACCTGCATTTGCTAAGTGCGTGTGCTAGCCATGCTCTTTGCTGGAGTGCCCTGTTGCTTAGTGCCTGCCCTGTCCAAACAACAAGGAATAACTGCAGTATAACAGTCCCTGGTCTGGTCTTTTTTGGCGCCTTTTAACCTTCTTTCCAATTTTGCTAGACTTTCTTTGCACCCTTTTTTATTTTATACTCTCTCTCTCTCTGTAAAAGGAATTTAGAGGAGGACCTTTAAACATTGGTTCGCAGGAGTAGTAATAGTGGTACGATGGCTTGACTCTTTATTTCTGAAGAGTACGAAAGCAACACAGAAATAGTAACACGAGACGAGTCTTGGGTAAACGCTGATTGCGGGAGGTCGCGGTCGCCCGGGGGGGAGGGGGTGAGAATGACCTGACCCGCGGGAGCGAGAGCACGTCTGCTGAGTGCCGTAGCCGGGGACGACCTTGACCTGACGAGCGCTGGGCACGAACTCTGTAAACCCAGGTCATCCTTGGCCATAGATAGCCAGCGTCCGCCAGAGCGCGGCGTGGGGACGTCGCTGGGTCGATGGTTCTCTCCTGGACCTCAAGCCACGTGGCAAGCAAGCAGCCACGCGGTCCTATTGTGCTTCTCTCTCTCTCTCTCTCTCTCTCTCTCTCTCTCTCTCTCTCTCTCTCTCTCTCTCTCTCTCTCTCTCTCTCTCTCTCTCTCTCTCTCTCTCTCTCTCTCGTGCTTTCTGTCTTTATTTTTTCTCTATCTTTTTACCTCTCGTTTGGTGTGTGTTCGGAAGTATGTATCTCACCGTCGGAGAAATTAACTTTGCAAGACACTTAATATGTATCGACGTCGCGTGAGTCACCATTTACGTTGCAAATAGTCGTATTAGTGCCAACTGTCACGCTCCCTTGGCATTGTCACGCTCCCTTGGCACTGTCATGCTCCCTTGGCACTGTCACGCTCCCTCGGCACTGTCACGCTCCCTCGGCACTGTCACGCTCCCTCGGCACTGTCACGCTCCCTTGGTACTGTCATGCTCCCTTGGCACTGTCACGCTCCCTTGGCACTGTCACGCTCCCTTGGCACTGTCATGCTCCCTCGGCACTGCCACGCTCCCTCGGCACTGTCACGTTCCCTTGCCACTGTCACCCTCCCTTGGCGCTGCTATGCTCCCTTGGCACTGTCACGCTCCCTTGGCATTGCTATGCTCCCTTGGCACTGTCACGCTCCTTTAGCACAGTCACACTCCCTCGGCACCGTCATCCTCCCTTGGCACTGCTATGCTCCCTTGGCACTGTCACGCTCCCTTGGAACTGTCACGCTCCCTTGGCACTGTCACGCTCCCTTGGCACTGTCACGCTCCCTTGGCACTGTCACGCTCCCTTGGCACTGTCACGCTCCCTTGGCACTGTCAAGCTCCCTCTGCACTATCACGCTCCCTCGGCACTATCACGCTCCCTTGGCGCTGCTATGCTCCCTTGGCACTGTCACGCTCCCTCGGCACTGTCACGCTCCCTTGGCATTGCTATGCTCCCTTGGCATTGCTATGCTCCCATGGCACTGTCACGCTCCTTTAGCACAGTCACACTCCCTCGGCACCGTCATCCTCCCTTGGCACTGCTATGCTCCCTCGGCACTGTCACGCTTCCTTGGAACTGTCACGCATCCTTGGCACTGTCATGCTCCCTTGGCACTGTCAAGCTCCTTTAGCACAGTCATACTCCCTCGGCACCGCCATCCTCCCTTGGCACTGCTATGCTCCCTCGGCACTGTCACGCTTCCTTGGAACTGTCACGCTCCCTTGGCACTGTCACGCTCCCTTGGCACTGTCAAGCTCCCTCGGCACTATCACGCTCCCCCGGCACTACTGTCACGCTCCCTCGGCACTGTCAAGCTCCCTCGGCACTGTCACGCTCCCTTGGCACTGTCACGCTCCCTCGGCACTGTCACGCTGCCTCGGCACTATCACGCTCCCTTGGCACTGTCACGCTGCCTCGGCACTATCACGCTCCGTTGGCACTGTCACGCTCCTTCGGCTCTGTCACGCTCCCTTGGCACTGTCACGCTCCTTCGGCTCTGTCACGCTCCCTTGGTACTGCCACGCATCATTGGATATCTCTCTCTCTCTCTCTCTCTCTCTCTTCTCTTTCTCTCTCTTTCTGTCTCTCTCTCTCTCTCTCTCTCTCTCTCTTTTTCTTTGTCTTTCTCTTTCTTTCTGTCTCTCTCTTTCTCTCTCTCTCTCTCTCTCTCTCTCTCTCTCTCTCTCTCTCTCTCTCTCTCTCTCCCTCCAGTGCAGTAATTCTGTAATTCCCCGACCTGTGTGGCCTGTACTTTGTAATTAGCGGGAAACCCTCATTAGCCTCTTGTTTACTTGAAGTGGGTCTGTTTCATTTGCATCTGCAGTTGAGGAGAACGGGGGGGGGGGGTACGGGGGTTGGGGGGAGGGAAAGGAAGAGGGGTGGGGGAGAGAGGAGGTGTGTGGGAAAGGGGAATGTAAAGGGATGGGGGAGAGGGATAGGGGAGAGGGGAAGGGAAGGGAAGGGAGATGGGGGTGATAGGAGAAGGAAAGGGGGATAGGGGGAGAGGGGAAGGAAGGGGGTTTAAGGAGAGGAAGGCGTTAGGAGAGAAGGGAGAGGAAGAGGGTGGGGAAGAGGGGTAGGGGAGAGGAGAAGATTGGGAGGTGGGGGAAAGGAGAATGAAAGGGAGTGCGGGAGAGGGAAGGAAAGGGAGTTAGGAAGAGAAAGGAATGGGGGTGGGGGAGAGGGTTAGAATGGGGATAGGAGAGAGGGGAAGGAAGGGGTGGGGGAGAGGGGAAGGATTCAAGGAAGTAGGCCAGGCTCATTAGGGTCCTTGTTATCCCTGTCATATCACCGAGGTAATTATAGCGGCGGCACTTGCATACCTGTGGCCGCGCAGGGAACGTGTGTGTGTCTGTCCGTTCATGGAATCTTCGGGCGTGTGCGTGCCTTTTTGTTTATGGCATTTTTTAGGGTGTGTGTATGTATGTGTACGCGGGTGCGTGTGTGCACCTTACTGTTTTTTATATTATACCCAGTATTGTTTCTCGACGTAGGTCTTGTAAATGCAATAGAATTTGGGAGCATTTATGAAGAAAAGTGTCCCCTTGTTTTATTAACATGTTTGCTTATACATGCATATATATATGTGTGTGTGTGTGTGTGTATGTATGTATGTATGTATGTATGTATGTATGTATGTATGTATGTATGTATATACATACATACATACATATAAATATTCATATACATATACATATACATATACATACATGTACATATATACATATACATATATACATACATAAACATGCATAAACATACGTACATATACATATATGTATATGTATATGTATATGTATATGTATATATATGTATATATATGTATATGTATATATATATATGTATATATAGATGTGTGTATATATATATATAGATATATATATATATGTATATATGTATATTTGTATATTTGTATATATATATATGTATATATGTATATTTGTATATATGTATATATGTATATATGTATATATATGTATATATGTATATTTATGTATATATGTATATATATTTGTATATATATGTATATATGTATATGCGTATATATGTATATCAATATTATAGGATCTCTGTATCTCTGTGTGTATCTCTCTGTGTATCTCTCTGTCTCTCTGTGTGTCCTTCTCTGTGTATTTTCTATCTCATTATCTGTCTGTTGTGTCTATATCTCTATCTCTCTCTCTGATCTCTCTCTGTCTCTCTATGTCTCTTCCTGTGTGTCTAATCTCTGTCCTCTCTCTGTCTCTTCGTTCTCGCTCTGTCTCTTCTGTCTCTCTCTGTCTCTCTTCTGTCTAATCTCTGTCTCTCTCTCTCTCTCTCCTCTCCTCTCTCTCTAATCTCTCTCTCTCCTTCTTTTCTTTTGTCTCTCTGTCTGTGTGTTCTTCTCTCTCGCTCTCTCTCTCCTTCTCCTCTCTTCTCTATCTCTCTCTCTCTCTCTCTCTCTCCTCTCTCTCTCCTCTCTCTCTCTCTCTCTCTCTCCTCTCTCTCATCTCTCTCTCTCTCCCTCTCTCTCTCTCGTCCCTCTCCCCCCCTCCACTCTCTCACCTCATCTCTCTCCTTTTCTCTCTCTCTCTCTCTCTCTCTCTTCTCTTCTCTCTCTCTTCTCTCTCTCTCTCCTCTTCTCTCGTCTCTCTTCTCTCTACGCTCCTGTGTCTTCTCTCTCTCTCTCTCTCCTTCTCTCATCTCTATCTATCTCTCTCTTTCCTGGTAGTCTCCTCTCTCTCTCTAATTCTCTCTCTCTCTCTCTCTCTCTCTCTCTCATATCTCTCTCTCTCTCTCTCCATCTCCTCTCTCCTCTATCTTACTCTTCTCTCTCTCCTCTATCTCGCTCTCTCTATCTCCTTCTATCTCTCTCCTCTCTTATCTCTCTCTCTCTCTCTCTGATCTCTCTCTTCTCTCTCTCTCTCTCTCTCTCCTCTCATCTCTTCTCTCCCTCTTCCCCTCTCCCGCTCTACCTCCCTCTTCTCCTTCTCTCTCTCGTCTCCTCTTCGCTCTCTCTCTTCCCGGTCCTTCTCTACTCTATCTCTCTCTCTCCTGTGTCTCTCTCCTTCTCTCTCTCTTTCTATCTCTCTCTCTCTCTCTCCTGTGTGTCTCTCCCTGTGTGTGGCTTCTCTCTCTCTCTCTCTCTCTCTCCTCTCTCTCCTCTCTCTCTCTCGCCTCTCTCTCTATCTCTCCATTTCTCTCCTCTCTACCCTTTCTCTTCTCTCTCCCTTTTCTCTCCTCCCTTTACTCTCATATACCTTTCTCTCTCTATCTTTCTCTTCTACTTTCCTTCTCTACTTTCTCCTGTCTGCCCTCTCTGTCTCGCTCTCTATGTCTCTCTCTATCATTGTCTCTCGTCTCTCTGTCTCTCTACCTCTCTTTCTCTCTATCTATTTCCTCTCTTCTCTCTCTCTCTCTCTTCTCCTTCTCTCTCTCTCTCTCTATCCTCATCTCTCTCTCTCTCTCTTCTCTCTCTTGTTCTCTGTCTTATCTATCTCCTTGTCTCTGTCTTCTCTCTATGTTTTCTCCTATTCTCCTCTCTCTCTACTCTCTCGTCTCTCTCTCTCTCTCTCTCGGCTCTCTCATGTTCTCTCTCTCTCTCTCTCTCTCTCTTTTCTCTCTCTCTTTCATCTCTCTCTTTTCTCTCTCTTTCATCTCTCTCTTTCTATCTCTTCTTTCTCTCTCTCCTTCTCTCTCCTTCTCTCTATCTTTCTCTCTACTCTTTCTCTCTCTCTTCTCTCTCTCTTGCTCTCTCTCTTTCTTCTCTCTTTCTTCTCTCTTTTCTCTCTCTCTACTCTCTCTCTCTCTCTCGCTCTCTCTCTCCTCTCTCTCTCTGTCCTCTCTTTCTTTCTATTCTCCGTCTCTCTCTTCTTTTCTCTTCTCTCATCTCTTCTCTCATATTCTCTCTCTCTTATTTCTCTTCTCTCTCTCTGTCTTCTCTCTTCTCTGTCTCTGTCTTCTCTATCTCTTGTCTATGTCTTCTCCTCTTGTCTCTGTATCTGTCTTCTCTCTCTGTTTCTCCCTCTTCATCCTCTCTTTCTCCCGCTATATATATCTATCTATCTCTCTCTCTATGCTTCTCTCTACTCTCTCTATCTCTCTCTCTCTCTCTTTATCTCTCTTCTCTCTATTCCTCTCTATTCTCTATCTTCTCTCTTCTCATCTCTCTTCTTCCTACTTCTCTCTCTTCTCTCTCTTCTTATCTTCTCTCTCTTCTTGTATTCTCTCTCTCCTATCTCTCGCTCTCTCTCTCTCTCTCTATCTCCTCGCTCTCCTTCCCTTCTCTCTCTCCCGTCTCTCTCTCTCTCTCTCTCTCTCTACTCTCTCTTCTTTCTCCTCCTTATATCCTCTCTCTCCCTTTTCTCTCTCTCTTTTCTCTCTCTCTTTGTCTCTCTCTTCTCTCTCTCTTTATCGCTCTATTTATCTATCTCTTTCTCTCTCTCTTCTCTCTATCTTTCTCTCTCTCTTCTCTCT